AGGAAACACTAAAGAATAAGGTAGAGAAATTACAAAAATACTGAACAGGTCACTTAAGAATAAGATTTATTTTATTGGGGCCCGATGTGGTGGCGCAGTGGTTAAGGTCCTCACCATGCACGCCCGGGATCCCATTTGGGCGCTGGTTCTATCCCAGCAGCCCCGCTTCCCTTCCAGCTCCCTGCCTGTGGCCCAGGAAAGCAGTCGAGGACAGCCCAAAGCTTTGGGACCCTGCACTCATGTGGGAGACCCGGAAGAGGCTCCTGGTTTCGGACCGGCATAGCACCGGCCGTTGCTTTCACTTGGGGAGTGAATCATTGGACGGAAGATCTTCCTCTCTGTCTCTCCTCTCTGTATATCTGCTTTTCCAATAAAAAAAAATAATAAAAATAAATCTTTCAAAAAAAAGATTTATTTTATTTTGTTTTAGATTTTTTTTTTTTATTGGAAAGCAGATATAGAGAGAAAAGGAGATATAGAGAAGATCTTCCATCCGTTAGTTTACTTTCCAAGTGGCCACGACGGCTGGGGCTGAGCCTGTCCAAAGCCAGGAGCCAGCAGCTTCTTCTGGGTTTCCCATGCGGGCGCAGGGCCATCCTCAACTGCTTTCCCAGGCCACAAGCAGGGAGCTGGATGGGAAGTGGAGCTGCTGGGATATGATCTGGCTCCCATATGGGATCCCAGCACATGCAAAGCGAGGACTTAGTTACTAGGCTATTGTGCCAGGCCTGATTTATTTTATTTTTGCTTGAACAGCAGTTACACAGAGAAGGAAACACAGAGGGAGAGATCTTCTGTCTGCTGGTTCACTCCCCAAATAGCCGTAATGACTGGAGCCGAGCTGATCCAAAGATAGGAGCCAGGATCTTCCTTTGGGTCTCCCATGTGGCTGCAGGGTCTAAAGGACTTTGGCTATCACCCGCAACCTTCCCAGGCACATTAGCAGGTTGCTGGATTGAAGTGGAGTAGTTGAAACGTGAACCAGCACCCATATGGGATGCCAGTGCTGTAGGTGGAGGCTTAGCCTGCTACCTCATGATGCAAGCCCCTGTCTAGGTCACATTTTACTTTCAAAAGAACTTACAACGTAGTGGGGATGGCACATAAGTAAGCTAAGCATTTAGTTGTAAGTGCTGTAGTAATAGGGATCGGGTAGGTTCTATTGGAGTTTGGAAGGTGGAGAGCCTACTATGGACAGTGGAGGTTGGAGGTGGGCGATATTAGGAAAGGCTTCACATAGGCGATGATAATGGAGCTTCCAACTTTATGAGGAATTAGGTGGTTGAGGCAGGCAAAAGGAGGGGCATACAAAGGAACCAGGGGTCCTGCAGAATGTTTCATGTGACTGAAAATGGAGGGAGTCAGGGAATGTGAGAAATGCTAGGCCTAGGAAAAGAAGGATCTCACCTGCCAAGCTGGAAATTTCAAGTTCATTCTTAACAGGTGGGATCTACTGAAAATTTTGGATAAGTAATAATACTCCAGGCAAGTATTATTGAACTAGCTACTTTTCAGCATCAATAATTACGTAAGGGCATCTTGAATTTAACATGCTCCCAAACCTCCCTCCTGATCTCTGCAAAACCCATCCCAATGAATGTTAGTTGCTTTCTTTGATATGCTTAGTCTAGTCATTCTTGGCTCCTTGATTGTTCATACTCCATAAGCAGACAATTGGCAGATCAGGTTGCTTTTCCCTTTAAAATACACCTAGGATTGATCCCCTAATAACAACCTCTATTGCTTTCTGCCCTAGTTGAGCCCTGTCATGTTAGCTTGGCTTACTGCTGTGGCTTCCTAACTGGTTTCTTTTCTTCCTTTCACCCCTTCCTTGGTGAGTGTATTCTGCACACACAAGTCAGAGAGCCCTCTAAAAAGTCTGAGCTTCCTCTAGCTTCCTACTTTGGCCAGAGTCTGCCATGTCTGGAGCCCTTTCTCCTTTGCTTTGGCACTGGCCTCACTTTCTGTAGCTTGGACCTCGTCGACATTCTGGCTTCAGAACTTTGGTTTGCTGCTTTCTCTGTTGGGAAGATTTTCTTCCACAGATAACCACATTGGTAGCATCTTCGCTTCCTGTAGGCCTCTGCTCATGAGGTCTTTCCTAATATAATCACTTTATATAAATTATAAAACTTATCATTCACTCTCCATTGTCTAATTTTTTTTTATAGACTTTTGCCATTCAAGGTTGTATAAGTACACTTATTCATTGGCTCTCTCTTAGAATGTAAGCCCCAACAGGATAGGAACTTGGCTTTTTTCACTGCTCTGTCCCTGAGGCATTGAACATAAGGTAGCCACCCAGAAAAGTTTTATGGACTCAGTGACTTGATTTATATTTTTAAAACTTCTTTCTGGCAACATCATGGATAATGGAAGGTGGGAGAGAGAAGGGGAACTGACACTTGGAATTAAAATAGTCCAGTCAAGAGATTTGAAGGGCATAGAACCAAGAATTACTTGGGAGGGAGAACTGATGAGACTTGGCAAATCACTGGATAAGGAGGAGTGAGGAATAATGACTCCCAGATTTCTGGCTTCGGTGGTTTGAGCAGATGATGGTGTTGTCAGAGTTAGAGGAAGCCATCGAGATGAATGAACTAGGCCAAGGTGAAGAAATAGTGACTAATCATGCCTAAGGTCCCAGGAAGCCACTCAGACCCAGGCAAACCAGGATGGTTGGTTACTGTTACACGTGGAGTAAAAAGATAGGTAAATACCATGCCAACTCAGTTAAGAGGAAGGAAGTAGAGAAGTTGGAGCAGGAAATAGGGAATAAAGACTGTTGGAGGGTTAGCAGGTTTCATGGAAGATAGGAGAGTTACTTCAAGAGGAAAGTGACCAGCCATATAGATTGTTTTCTCTTGAGTTTTTGGCATTTCTGCCCGTCTTTGGCTGGAATCTGACATCTTGTAGAGGCTCCGGAAATATTTCTTGGTATCTCTTTGTGGCTGAAGCAGAAAAGGTTGAGGGGAGCCAACTTCTGATGCTTGCTGGATCATGGGACTAAACATGAATTTAAGGATTTTATTAGAAACCACATTGTTCCTGTATTTAGTGCTTGGCTCTCTCAGGCTAATGAATAGTTTGAATACCCGGCAGTGGGAATAAGCTATTAACATTCCATAGTTATTTATTTTTAGAGATTTATTCATTTTTATTGGAAAGGCAGATTTACAGAGAGAAAGATCTTCCATCCGCTAGTCTACTCCCTAAATGGCCACAGTGGTTGAAACTGAGCCAATCTGAAGCCAGGAGCCAGGAGCTTCTTGTAGGTCTCCCATGTGGGTAAAGGTTCCCAAGGTTTTGGGGGTCATCTTCTGCTGCTTTTTCATGCCACAACCAGGGAGCTGGATGGGAAGTGGAGCAACTGGCACAGGAGCTGGTGTCCATATGGGATGCTGAGGCGTTCAGGCAGAGGGTTAGCCAGTTGAGCCATAATGCAGGCCCCAACATTCCATATTTCTCAGGGTTGGATCTGAAAAAATACAAGATTGGAATTTTAGAGTGGGCGTTTGTGTTATTTGCAAAGTAGTGCTTGATATTTTGGAGTAGTTAATTGATTTAGAAACTATTGAAAACCCTGAATCAACTTGCCTGGAAAGAACACATATGTTTGTTCATCCTTTGAGACTTGAAGGTTGTAGAAGATTAAGAGGAGCACTGATTTCACACAGCCTCATTTTATATCTCAGGATATTGGGAAGCTTGGAAAAATTAGCTAGCATATGTAGAACACATAGGCAATAACTAAATTTATTTATTAAGATTTATTTTTATTTGAAAGGAAGATTTACAGAGAGAAGGTAAGACAGGCAGATCTTGCATCCACTGGTTTCACTTCTCAAATGACCACAAAAACCAGAGCTGAGCTGATCTGAAGTTAGGAGCCAGGAGACACTTCTGGGTTTCCTATGTGGGTATAGGGTTCCAAGGCTTTGTTCCATCCTCCTCTGCTTTCCCATTCCATAAGGGAGCTGTATGGGAAGTGGAGCAGCCAGGGACATGAACCAACACCCATATGGGAACCCAGCACTTGGAGGCTGAAAGTTAGCCAATTGAGCCATTACAATTGAGCCTTGAATTTATTCTCCGCCCCCCCCCCATTTTTTCATTTTTATTATTTTATGATATAGTCCCATAGGTTCTGGGATTTCCCTTACCCCTCCTCAAGTCTCCTCACCCCCAACTGATTTCCCCTAAACTATATACAATAGTATAGTTCTTCGTCTGAATTTATTCTTTGTATCAGTTATACGTGGGGCAAGGGTCTTCAGAAAGTTCTTGGAGACTACATATTATGAAAACACTATGCACGATCTCAAGGCTTTTTTGCACCAAAATAAACTCACCTTTTAATTCTGTTTTTCCATGAGTTTTTGGAAGTTCATTGATTGCCATTGTTTTAATAAAGGTTTAGTCCTTTTTGGTCTATGATTAGATTTATCTCTTTGACTTACTGGGTCACTGCCAACTCTGTAGACGTGCTGAGATCTTCGTTTCTTATCTGATGCCTGTACCTTTCTAAACTGTCCTAAGACTAAACACATATTGTGTGGTTTAGAAAATTTGGTGGAGGGTCTCGCATGGTAGCCTAGAGGCTAAAGTCCTTGCCTTGCTTGCACCAAGATCACATGTGGACACTGGTACGTGTCCCAGCTGCTCCACTTCCCTTCCAGCTCCCTGCTTGTGACCTGGGAAAGCAGTCAAGGACGGCCCAAAGCTTTGGGACCCTATACCCACGTGGGAGACCTGGTTGGAACTCCTGGTTTTGGATTGGCTTAGCTGCGGCCATTGCTGCCACTTGGGGGATGAACCAGTGGATGGAAAATGTTTCTGTCTGTCTTACTCTATAAATCTGCCTTTTGAATAAAAATAAACTAAAAAAAATTGGTGGAATGTTAGATTTCATATATCTGACTTTCAAGGTGTGAATTAAGAATTGATGAGGTAAAAGCTCCTGCTAATGACTTTCTTATGCCTTCCTTTCTTTGGAACAGGATGCTGTATGATTATGTTGAAAGAAAACGAAAAGAAAATTCAGGAGCCCAACTGCATGTCACCTACTTGGTATCTGGCAGTCTCATCCAGAATGGACAGTCTGTAAGTTCTCAGAATCTTAAAGTAAGCTTGTATTGCTGGAGCAGTGAACCATGTATAATCTAACACAAGGGGAGGAAAAAACACAAGATTCATGATATGGCTGCTTTTAAAAGTTACAGGTGATGATTTTCTGTTGTCAGACTGAATGAAACTCTGAAAAGTCTAAGGAATAATATCTTGGCTCTGATGCATACTGAGTTGTTCTGACAGTTGTCCCAGGTAGTAAGATGGTAGGACATGCATCTCTTTTATACTTTGTAGCTTCTTCTTCCTCTTGAAGATATATTTGGGACAACGATGGTTAATTTTCAGCCTATTACAATTTAATTCACAAACCCAGGAATCAGAAACCACATTAAAAAAAACAACTGCCTTCATTTTAGTTTTGATAGGCTTGCGTCTAAGTGGCTGAGAGGCAGTGGGTGTTGGCAGGGAGTTGAGTGAATGCAGAGGCATGGTATAGTTTGAACAACTTCACTGTCTTGCATGCTCTTGTCATTACTCTAGTATCAGATCTTCTATCAGCACATGTCACTGCTATGTTTTCAGCATCCTAACCACAGAGCTGTCTCTGGTCTGCTGAATTTGTCTTAGCTACTTCCACATCCCTCTTGTGCCCAAGAATCATGCTATTATTCTCCTGTGTTAGTGGGTACCAGAAGCTCTGCTGAGACATTGTGTTCCTTTTCTTGTACCAGATGAAACCCTGCAAGCTTTAAAAAATTGAGCTTCTGGCTTGCTCCCTGAAGGAAGGCATGCTTCCTTCCCGTGTTCTCATTTCCTCAAACCTCATATTTTTTTGGCTTCTGTCACAAGTAGTCTCATGGGACTTGGCCAAAGGCTCAGGACCTTTCTTCAGAGATCCACTAAAATTTACAAACATTTGCCCTTTTGATATTTTTTCTTTTCCTCTCAATAGAATAGGTTTACAACATTGATTTGCTAAAATACTCACTGGATTTGTTTTAGTAAGAGAGTCCCAAACGTGAAATTTAATACTGGAAAAATCCATGTAGTCATTTTCAAGGAGAAACAACACTGATAGTGGGATCAGATCCTTGTGTTTCCTTGCCAGAGTATTCTTTTCTTGTTGACAAGCCATTTGGTAAGCCAAATGATAAGGTATAATCAGCATTGTTGAACACTGAGATATATTGTGAGGAAGGAGGTACATTTGTCATCATTGCACAAACATCAGAGTGTGCTTACACAAGCCTGAATGGCTTGGCCTGTTACATACTTGGGATATGTGAAATAGCCTCTTGTTCCTGGGCCACAACCCTGTACGATGTGTTGTTGCAGACAGGTATAATATAATGGTAGCTATTTGTGTATCTAAACATATAAAAAGTACAGTAAAAATATAGTGTAAAAGATTTTTAAAAAGATTCACTTGTAGAGAGTACATATATGAAAGGAACTGGCAGGAATGGAAATTGGCTCTGGATGGATTAGTGAGCTGATTTGAGTGAGTGTGAAGGTCTGGGACACTTCTTTGGGTCTGAGATTTCACTGTGTTAACAGGGAATATTTTGCTTCAGTGAGAAGTTAACCTTGATGTACAGTGAACTTTTTACTTCACAAACTTTAAAATGTTTTAAGCTTTTTGGCTGTGGTAATGATAATTAGCTTAAAACACAACGCAGCTATACTTTTTTTTTTCTAATTTTTAAACTTTTTTGTTAAAATTCAGACATACAATTTTTTTACGTAACAGTTTTTTTTTAGAAGATTTATTTATTTTCATTTAAAAGGCAAAATTGTAGCAGCGATAAGAGGAGCAGAAAGAGAGAGAGGAATTTACTATCTGCTGGTTCACTCCCTAAGTGATCACAATGGCTGGTCTGAAGACAGGAATCAGCAGTTTCTTCAGGGTCTCCCACGTGAGTGCAGGGGCCCAAGGACTTAGGTCATCTGCACTGCTTTCCCATGCCATCTGCAAGGAACTGGATCAGAAGTGGAGCAGTTGGGACTCAAACTGATACCCAAGTGGGATGCCAGTACTGCAGGTGGAGGCTGAAGTCACTATGCCACAGTGCAGGCCCTGACAAATGTACAGCTTAGCCTAGGCCTACGTAGTGACAGGATCATCAGTATTACTGTCTCTTCCACTTATGCGTTCTGTCCCACTGGAAAGTCTGCAGGGAAAGGCGCATACGTGGAGCTGTCACCGCCTTGTGTGAACAGTGCTTTCTGGATGCTTCCTGATGGACCTGCCTGAGGCTGTTCCTCTTGTGTAGCAGTCACTCATTTCAGAAATGTGTCCTTGTTGCTTGCTTGATTTGTTTCTCTTTCTTTCTTCTTTCTTGCTTTCTTGCTTTTTCATCAAAAATTTGCTGTTAGGTAGATAATGTACCCTAAACATTCCTCTCTGTAATGAATACCTTCTGGTATCAGGGTCCATGTTTTTTAACTTTTCAAGGAGCTTGTTGAGATCTACATAAGCTTCTATTAAGCCTTTCACTGTGAATTTTTGGAAGGTTCTTTTCTACAGCTTCCGTTTCTCTTGCTCCTTCAGCTGTGTGCTCACTAGTCGATAGGAAGTCTTTAAGAGAGAAAGAAGCAGCTTCCATGCCCTGGTTCAGCCCCAGAATGCCCTCTGTGGCCAGGATTCTGCAGCTGGGAATTCAGGCTATGCCTCCTACCATCACCTCTGCCTCCTGGGATCCACATCGTCAAGAAGCTGGAATCAGGAGCCAGATCCAGAGAACTAATGCAGACGCACTGTGGTGGGCAGGTAGCCTGGCCAGTGAGTTCACTGCTAGGCCAAATACCTGGGTATCCCAAGCAGTGGTTTTACTCACTGTACCATTCTGCCCCAGCAGGTCCTTATTAATGATTATTTGAGTTACTTGTGATCTTTGACTATAACAAATAGTGTTGCAGTGAACAGCACAGTATGAGTGTGTTTTGTCTGTTGCCGTTGTGTGTTTTAGGCTTGCATATCCACAATTTGGATTGCTGGGTCATAGAGTCATTTGCATTTTCTGTGAATTGTCTTCTCATTCTTTTTCCTCATTTTTCTTTGTTTAGTTTTAGAAACTGTTTATTAACCCACCATGGTACAAATTGCATACTTTTCCCACTCTTTCTTTATGCTTTGCTTGAGATTTTTTTTTTGTCACCCAAGATTGTTCTGTGTTACTTTTATGATTTATTTCAGTTATTTCTGGCTTTCGAATTATGCTTAAGAACTGTTCCCCCATTTTCCGACATAGAAAACCTCTCATGTTTTCTTCTAATCCTCGTATGTTTTTACTTTTTACGCTGAAATGTCTGATCCATTCAGTATTTATTCTGATAGACTACTAGTTTTTCCTGGTCCTGTGTGGTTATGCATTGTTCTAAAGTCATGTACTCAAAAGTCCTGTTCTCTGATTTGAAATGTATTCCATCGTGCTATTGGTATTTATGCTTTTACTTTCCTTTATCTCATTGAGTAGTTTTAAAGTAAGAAGATATAAATATTCTGACTTTATCAAATTGTAATATCTTTCTGGATACTTTGGTGTTTTATTTACTCACATTGAAGAACAAAAACTAAAATTCCCGTACTTGAAACACTAATGAAGTGTTATTTCCTTACAGTGCCACAAGGTTGCAGTAGTGAGAGAAGACAAATTGGAAGGTTAGTATATTCATAATTTGGCAGATTTTTTTCTTCTAGTTACCATAAACTTTCTCTAACAGATGTATATTATATGTGTGTGTGTATATACATATATAATATCTATCCATCTAACTATCTATCTACTTAACAGAAGAGCCCTGTGTTCCTTATTAGTAATTTCTGAAAAATGTTAAAATATGGTACCATATCTGCCTAGCTTCCTGTTCTTGAGGCCAATAACTGCTATCAATAATAAAGCTGTTGTATCACAGGATTTCAAGATTTATGACAAACATCCAAAAAATATTGTCACTATCATATAGGACGTCTCATCAGTAAAAATACTTTAAATACAGTGGTACATTCCATAACAGTTTCTCTTTTTTAAGATATATTTTTAATGAGAGGACAGATTTACAGAACTAAGCTGTTCTGAAGTCAGGAGCCAGGAGCTTCTTCCAGGTCTCCTACCGGGTGCAAGTAGGCTTTGTGCCATGCTGTTTTGCTTTCCCAGGCCATAAACTGGCAGCTGGATGTAAAGTGGAGCAACCAGGACACAAACCGGTGCCCAGATGGGATGCTGACACTTGCAGGCAGAATGTTAGCCAATTGAGGCATCACATAGTCTCCAGTCTTTTATTCTTTAGGAAGAAAATGAAAGAATGCTTTTCTAAAAACGGAAAGATTCCTAAATTAAATAATTTTTTTAAAAAGGATAAGAAGGTTGGTTTGTTTGTTTATCTGAAAGGCACAATTGCAGATACAAATGGAGAGAGAAATCTCCTGTCTGCTGGTTTATTCCTCAAATATCTGCAGAGGAACAGTATGGGGCTGGGCCAGGCTGAAGCCAGGAGTCAAGAACCTCATCCAGGTTTCCCACAAGGTGGCGGTGGCCCAAACACTTGGACTATCTTCTGTTACTTTCCCAGATACATTAGCAGGGAGCTGGAAGGAGTTGGTTTGGAAGCTCAAACCAGCCTCATGGGATGCTGGCATTACAGGCAACAGCTTAATCTGTGTCCCAATGCTATCACTAAATTACTTTCAAATTAAATTTGTCCAACTGTTTTAAGGCTGTTAGTGCTAACATTTTATTGTATAAAAACCCAATTTAAATGAATATTTAACAGATCTTCATGATCCTGAACATAAGTTTTAAAATAAAATTTTACTATTGTCTTTTTTGTAAAGACTACTGCCAAAGAGGGGGGATTTTCTCACCAAATTAATTGGAGTTTTTGGATGGTGGCAGTATCCCTTTTCTCTTTGGGTCCCCAGTGGTAGATAAAGTAAAATTTCATTATTGTATAGATACACGTCAGTTATGTAGCATGTGGCACACACTCTGTACTAGACACTGGTACATGGGAAAAAAATGGGTCAATCCTTTCCTTTGTGGAGCCTAACATTTGTTTTTGTGATTTTCTGTTGTTTTTTTTTTCTCTGCAGACAAATATAATTAGTAGTATTTTTGTTATGTAGTTGCTTTTTCAGAACTGAGGTTGAAATATGTAAGTGAAGCCTTCTTAAGTAGAGATGATTTATTCCTCTTTAGTTACATGCTTGAATGTAGGCTTCTTTACTGACCATTAAAAAGAATATTTTAGTCATCAATCATTAATCAATGTTTGCTGAGTGTCCACTGCATGAGTGATACCCTCACAGTTGCTCTGCTTAGAAATGACTCAACCACCACCTACAGTGTCATAATGTCCCTGGTGCAGACAGAAGGGTTGATGTTATGCTGTATATGTGCCTCTTTGGTCATCTAAGAGTTTTTGAACCAGTGCAGATGGCAAATGGTTTAATGCAGAAGGGTTTCTTGTTAAAGTTCCCACATGCTATGAAGTTTGTGTATTAACAGACTGCTTTTCCTGTTGACTTGTAGCAGTGAAGTCCAAGCTAGCCGTGACTGCCAGCATCCATGTGTACAGCATCCAGAAAGCCATGCTAAAGGACAGTGGGCCTCTGTTCAATACTGACTATGACATCCTTAAAAGCAACTTGCAGAACTGCAGCAAGTAAGCTCCTTAATGTTCCTTGTGGGCTTCTTTAGGAATTGATTTTGTAAGATGTTTACACAGTGGCTGCCTCTTAAGAGTGAATGCCAAGTCTAGTAAAACCCCATTTATCTTGCTGTAAGACACATGCCTGGTTTTATTAGTACATCATAAGGTGAAAAATAGCAGCCACAACCCACACTGAAAACCCCAGTGGACTCCCCATAAATCTATTTCTTCTGTCACTGCCACCAAAAATGTTTGTTGTGCCCCTCGCCCCCTTGGTACTCTCATACCCTAGTTTCTGCTTGTGTAAATCCTACCCATCCTTCAAGAACAGGTTCAGATGTCCTTCAAAAAACTATGCCTAATTTGATCTCACTCTTCCATCTAACCAAAAACAACTTCTTGCACTTTCATAGCCAGGAACAGATTCTCTAAATCTTTTCTATCCTTCACAGCACAGGGAGGTGATGTATGCTCACTTTGGAAATTGGTGGTCATGGTCTTGAGTTGTGCTTTCTTAATTAATAGCCCGGTGGCTCTGGGCAAGTTACTTAAACTCTTTGAGCTCTTATTTGTCTTTAAATTGGATGTAATAATGGCGACTTTATGAGGTTGTATTGAAGGCTCAAGCCAGTTCTCCAAACATTTATTGTGAGCTCTCACTACTTTAACAGGTAGTAAGCAAGGTAATTTGAATTCGTTTAGCAAATACAGGACAAGTATATCTGTGATGTACCCCAGATTATAGGGTGAGTATGACCCAGTACCTACTCATGGAACTGATGATCTGTGGGGAGATAGGTAGTTAGCATAGTGTGGCAATGCCATAATAGGAGTGACAGGAAAACGGGATAGGGAGCATTTATATCCCACTTTTGGATGGATGAAATCAGTAGCCAGAGATGTCTTCTTGAAAATTATGACATCAAAGTTGAGGATTGGAGGCCTGTTGGAAATAGCCAAGCAGAGGAGAAATGAAAGAGTAAGACCAGAGCTGAGAGAGAAAACATGATGTTTGCTGGAACCTGATAGTTTTCTTTAACTGGGATTGGAGAAAACAGTGAGCTAAAAGACTGAAGACGCCAGGTAGGAATTAGATTATTCTTTGACTGCTGTAATAAGTAGTTTTATATGTCACTCTGGATGTACTGCAGAGCCATTGAAGTGGGTTTTTTTTAAAAGATTTATTTTTATTTGAAAGTTAGATTTATGCAGAGATATGGAGAGAGGAAAGACAGAGAGATCTTCCATCTTTTGATTCTCTCCCTAAATGGCTATCATGGTCAGAGCTGGACTAATTCGAAGCAAGGAGCCTGGAGCTTCTTCCAGGTCTCCCATGTGGATGCTGGGGCCTGAGGACTTGAGCCACCCATCACTGCTTTCTCAGGCAGATTAGCAGGATCATAAGTAAAATAGCTACAACTTGAACTGGAACCCATATAGGATGCCAACATTTGCAGGCAGAAGCTTAACTTACTGTGCACAGTGCCATAACTGCCACTGGATTTTTAAGCAGATGGAGTAAAATTGTCAGAATTACATTTTTGAAAGATCACTCTGGCTGCCATGTTAATGGTATATCAAATAGAAATATTCTGATGGCAAGGTCATCAGCGAGAAGTGTTTCCATGATCCATGATGGAGAGGATAACTCTGGTAAAAAAAACAAAACAAACAAACAAAAAAACCTGTTGGGGATGGAGAGATACAACAATCACAGTCATAACTATCAAAATGTAGATAATGTGGTAATGACTGGGACAAGGTGGGAGTGGGGTAGCTGTTCATGGTGCTAAAGATGATATGTTTCTAGCTTAAGCAGTGGACACTGAGGGAATGTAAAAGGAGGAACAATCTCTAGGAAGAGGGAACATGGTTAATTAGGTTTGGGACATGTTTAAGGAGCCTGTTAGTAATCTGGTGGGGATATCTATTGCAACAGATAAGTGACTCTAGAACTAAGGAAAAATTTGAGCCAAGGATAGATTTTGAAATCAGAGAAAATAGGCAAGTTAACTAGGTCAAAGAAATGGTTAAAATTTGGGGACTGATGCTATGGGATATCAAGTTAAACATTACCTGCAGCACCAACATCTCATGGGCACTGGTTTGAATACTAGTTGCTTCATTCTTTTTTTTAAGATTTATTTATTTATATTGGAAAGACAAATCTACAGAGAGAAGGAAAGACAGAAAGATTCTTCATCTACTGATTCACTCTGCAAATGACTACACTGGCTATCTAAGCTGATCCAAAGCCAGGAGCCTTCTCCAGGTCTCCTACATAGGCTCAAGGTCCCAAGGCATTGGACCATTCTTTGTTGCTTTCCAGGATATCAGCAGAAGCTGAATTGGAAGTGGACAGCTGGAACATGAACTGGTACCCTTATGAGATGCTGGTGCTTGAGGGTGGAACATTAGTCAGTTGAGCCAAAGTGTTGACCCCAGGATGCTCCATTTCTGATCCAGGTGCTGATGCACCTGGGCAAGCAGTGGAAGATGACTCAAGTTCTTGGGCCCCTGCATCCACGTGGAAGAAACTCCTTGTTCCTGACTTTGGCCTGGCCCAGGTATAGGCTCAGGCCTAGCTCCAGCCATGACAGCCATTTGGGGAGTAAACCAGTGCATGGAGTATTCTTTAACTCTGGTTTTCCTCCTTTCTCTAACTCTAAAAATAAATCCTTTTAAAAAAATGTTACAAAAAATATAGAATAAAAGAAAGGAACATGCTAGCTCTACTTGAAGGTTACTAGCTGTGTGGCCTTGGGCAAATTATTTAACTTCTCTGTTTTGTTTCCTTATCAGTAAGGAAATGAAGTTAAGGAGTATTATTAGCTCAGTATAGAGTTAATAATGTTAACTTCATAGGGTTGTAGAATATTAATATATGTTGTAAAGCTCTTAGGACAGTGTTTGTCATGTAACATAAGAGCTATTTAATGATAGCTTTTTAAAAAATTAAAAAGAATTTATTTGAAAGGCAGAGAGATGGAGCAAGGTCTTTTATCTGCTGATTTATTTACCAAATGCCTGCAGCAGTGAGGCTGGGCTAGGTCAAAGCCAGGATGACAGAATTCCCTTGCCATTTCCTATGTGGTGGCAGAGACCCAGGTGCTTAAGCCATAATCTGCTTCTTCCAGACCCATTAACATCAGGCTGGATTGGAAATGAAATAGCTCAAACCAGGCGCTCTGGTATAGCATGTGGGTATCCCAAGTAGGGAGTTAACCTGTTAGGCCAAATGGCTTGTCCCATAACAGCTGTTTTCAAAGGGCTATGTAGAAAAAGAAGAGCCCAAAGAGCTGCCAACAATAAAAGGAAAACCGAGGTATACAGGATCCCCACACATGAGGGGAGAGTTTCAGCAGGGGGAGGGATTGGTTTACAGTGTGAAATGCTGCTGAGTAACCAAATAAGACAAGAGCTGGAAAGTCCCCACTGACGTAGTGATGGCCTTGATAAGAGCGTTTTCAGTAGAATGACCAAGTTCTAGTCAGCTGAGTCAGTGGGAGAGTAAGGAAGTGAGACAGCTAATACTGCTGACTCTTCAAGAAATTTGATGAGCAAATGAAGGGGAATAGAGGATGGTAGCTAAGGAGGAACTGACACTGAAAAAACGGTGCATGCAGCTTTAACGATGAGGATGGTTTGAGCTTTATGTTTTTAGAAAAGAGGCATGGAGAAGAGAGAGTTGAAAATGTTGGGGATGATGGGATAACTGATTGAGTTGGGTTCTTGAAAGTGAAGTAGATGGAGAATTACCAGACGTAAATCCCAGGAGAATAGGAGTCATGTCTGTTTTGTTAATGATGTGTAAGCAAGATGGTGCCTAGTATGTGGTGGGCATTGGATATGTAATTGTTGAGTGAACTAATGGTGGTTACTAGTTCCTTTCCCCTTAGCTCAGAACTTGACATAAGTGTTTATTAAGCAAGTAACAACAATAGGGTAATGTACATGTCCAGTGTCTTTTAGGATTTCAAGAGAACATTAACACCTTGACAGGATTTCAAAATAATCTGTTTAAATGTGGTCATGACATGTAAGGATCTCAAAATCAATTCTTCCTGTTGTTTATAGCAAGTAAGCAAACAAGAATAAAAGTGACTCAAAAGCTCAGAATGAAATTTCCACAGGGCCCATAAAATAAACATGGCAAGTAGAAACATGGTAAGAGGAAGCACTTCCATGAAACTTTACCTAAATACTTAATGTCCTTGGTAGAAATGCGAAGAATTTATCTCCAATAAAGAAGTTTGTGTTTGGTCCTGAGAATTACAGGCCAACTGAGATCTGACTCATGACTTTGTGTGTTTTAAGAAGTGCTGTGACAGGAAGAAAATTGAAATTTTAGGATTGAGCAGAGATTCTTCTCTCTTCGGACATGCTCCCAGGCTAACTGGATCGCTTCCTCATTGCCAACTCTGGTCCTGACCCCAAGGTGTGGAATGCAAACCAAAAGGAGAAAGAGTTGTTTCGGGGCCAACTTTAGATGTTGACAGTGAAATAAAACATTGCCCTTTTCCTTGTACCTGGAAGCACCACAAGGCCAAAGAGGAAGAATAATGGGTCAAAGTAAATGAGTTCCGTGTGTTCTCATTCTGATGTACCAGAGGTGTGTGTTAACACAGGGTTTTCTGATGTGGACCGTAACAAATCAGTGGAAGGTTTCTGAAGCTGTAGATGGGAGCTTTGAGGCTGTTCAGTGTAAACTTATCCATGACATAAAATGAAATTATCTGATTGCTTTCTTGGGCCTGTTATTCTGTCAGTCAAGTTGTTGTAATTGATGTCACTGCAAAGTTTCTGGTACAAAAAAGAAAAAGGACAGGCGAGTAGCCTCACATTCTGTCACTTAAATAGTCTTTCTTTTGATATGTCTTTCCTGTCACTTGCTATGTGCAAGCAGGTCTTGTGCTGAGTGCCTAAAATGAAAACAAACAAATCCTGCAAGGAGTTGTTACCTACCTTCGCTGAATAAAACACCAGGGAAAAGGAAATGTTTTTGTTTTCTAGGAAAGGTTGGGGAACTTTGCCTTCAGTAGGATCCTTAAAAACATTTTTAAAAAATTGTCTGAGGGGCCCAATGTGGTGGTGCAAGTGGTTAAGGTCCTCGCCTTGCATGCCCAGGATCCCATATGGGCGCCGGTTTTATCCCAGCAGCCCCGCTTCCCTTCCAGCTCCCTGCCTGTGGCCCGGGAAAGCAGTTGATGGCCCAAAGCCTTGGGACCCTGCACCCGTGTGGGAGACCCGGAAGAGGTTCCTGGCTTCGGATCGGCATAGCATCGGCTGTTGCGCTCACTTGGGGAGTGAATCATCGGACGGAAGATCTTCCTCTCTGTCTCTCCTCTCTGTATATCCGCCTTTTCAATTAAAAAAAAAAATTGTCTGAGAAGGAGAGTCCCATCCACCATTTATTGCACTCCATGGATGATCACAGTGGTTGGGACTGGGCTGAGGCCAAAGCTGAGATCCTGGAACTCAGGCCAGGTCTTCCACATGAGTGGCAGGAACCCAGCCAGTTGAATTGTCACCACTGCGTCCCAGGATCTGGATTGGTGGGAGATTAGATTTGGGAGCCAGATATAAAACACAAATAATCCACTCTAGGACGTGAGCATCTTAACCATTAGGCTAGATGCCTGTCCATTGTAACTCTTTAAGAAGGCTGAATGTGCTATCCCTTCATTTTGTACAACATTACATTAAGGATTGTATGAAACAGGCATATCTGTAATGATAAGATGAATTACTAAAAGAGATGAATGTTACTTTTAATATACTATGCAAACTATTCTGCCAGACTTTTTCACTTGGGCTTGAGCATACTTGTCTGGAACTGTTAGTATTGTTAGAAATTGGTAGCAAATTACTGGGGAAGGACTGTAGATTATAGAAGGCAGTGGCTCTGTTCCCAGCTTCTTACATGTTTTAAAGCAGGCCTATCAGGAGATGTGTCGGGAGAATTACCTGGCCAGGAAATTTATCAGGGAAGTTTGTTAATATTTATAGTTCTTAGATTTGATTCAGTCAATACTAATTGCATGGCCTGCTCTGTAAAACAAAGATCTTCAAAATAAGAAATAATCACATGATCTCCCAAGGATGATAAAATTATTAAATCTTCCATTATTATTTCGTGAATTTTTACTCTTTTTTTTAAAGATTTATTTTATTTTATTGGAAAGTCAGATATACAGAGAGGAGCAGAGACAGAGAGGAAGATCTTCTGTTCAAGATTCACTCCCCATGTGAGTGCAACGGCCGGTGCTATGCTGGTCCAAACCAGGAGCCTGGAACTTCTTCCGGGTATCCCACATGGGTGCAGAGTCCCAAGGCTTTGGGCAGTCCTCAACTGCCTCCCCAGGCCACAAGCAGGGAGCTGGATGGGAAGTGGAGCTGCCGGGATTAGAACCGGTGCCCATATGTGATCCCGGCGCGTTCAAGGTGAGGACTTTAGCTGCTAGGCCACGCTGCCGGGCCTGAATTTTACTCTTTTGAAATAGGATTTTTTTTTCCAAAAAAATGTAAAATATTCAGATTGGTGTGGTAGAAGGCACCTGATTGCAATCCTAGCTCTATTACTAACTAGGGTTTCTTTATTTCAATGAGTAGACTTTTTTTTTTTTAGATTTATTTATTTATTTAAAAATTGCAGTTACAGAGACAGAAAGAAAGCAAGATCCTCTAGTCTCTGGTTCAGCCCCCAGGTGGCTGCAATAGCACTCAGGACTGAGTTCGACTACAGCCAAGAGCTTCATCCAGGTTTCCCACGTGGGTAGTAGCGACCCAAGCTCTTGGACCATCTTCTGCTACTTTACACTGGCCATCATCAGGGGAGCTGAATTAGAAGTGGAACAGTCAGGACATGAACTGGTATCCCTATGGTCTGTATTTCTTGCCGTGACCCTACCCACTATACTATAATGCTGGCCCTATCAATGAGAGTTTTCTACTAAACATATTCTAGATATCCTAGTTCCAAAATTCCCCAGTTTTTATAGAATTAGAGTTACAAAGTATACCTATTGCATGAAGAAACAAAGGTTTGAAAGTAAGGGACCAGTGATTGGCATAATGGTTAAGATGTGTCTGACTCCCCATCACAGAGTGACTTGAGTTTGAGTCTTAGTTCCACTTCCCATTTCAATTTTCTGCTAATGGGCAGGAGATAAAGTTTGACACTAACATAAAGTAACATTTCTGCCCTCAGGTTTAGTGCCATACAATGTGCAGCTGCTGTCCCCAGACCTCCTGCAGAATCCTCATCTTCCAAAAAGTTAGAACAATCAAATCTTCAGGTATCAAGTGAACCACAAGTGAATAATGAACCAACTGCCAATGGTCAGGGCCCACCTGCCTCCAAACCGGTTACCCAGCAACCCAAAGGAATTATGGGAATGTTTGCTGCTAAAGCTGCTATTAAAGCCCAAGATGCCAACAAGGAAACCAAAACAGAGGCTAAAGACATAACAAATGTAAGTACTCTTTGAAGATACGCCTTTGATATAGCTCAGCATGAGTATCTAAAAAAGTATTAATAGTTCCAGTGAGGTAAGTTTGTATGTTTCTAATATTCAGACTTTTCTACTTTACTTTGAACTCTTCTCATCTGAAATAGTCCTTTTCATTTTTACTAATATCTCTTGGGTGTGGGTGCAAGTTCCCAAGGCTTTGGGCCATTCTTTTCTGCTTTCCCAGGCCACGAGCAGGGAAGTGGATGGGAAATAGAGCAAACAGAACATGAACCAGTGCCCATGTGGGATCGCAGTGCATGCATGATGAGGATTTTAGCCTCTGAGCCATCACGCAGGATCCTAAAAAATTGCAGTTATTGTCATTACTGTTCCATCATTTTCATTTCCAGGTTTTTGCTCTGGGAAAGTAGAAAAGGGAGAGGGAAACAATAACACTTTTTAAGTTTGTATGATGTGTCAATGATTTGATCTTTGTTTAAATACTCTTATTGATTATATGAGGGACATACCATCATTTTCATTTTGTGGTGATGAAATTGAAGCCTAAATTTGTTAAACGATTTGTGTTGAGGTCATAATGCTAGTAAGTTGTAGAACCAGGATTTAAATCCATTTCTTAATGTTTAAAGGTATTATATCTTGGGATTTCCAGCATGGCAGTGATTGTTCCAGATTGCTCCTTCAAGAGTAGGCTAGGGCCCGGCGCGTTGGCGCAAGTGGTTAAGGTCCTCGCCATGCACGCCCGGGATCCTATATGGGCGCCGGTTCTAATCCCAGCAGCCCCGCTTCCCTTCCAGCTCCCTGCCTGTGGCCCGGGAAAGCAGTCGAGGACGGCCCAAAGCTTTGGGACCCTGCACCCGCGTGGGAGACCCGGAAGAGGCTCCTGGCTTCGGACCGGCATAGCATAGGCCATTGCTTTCACTAATCATGTTTGTTTTCTTCTTTATGCTTTTAGGCATCTTCCACAGGCAACAAGGCACCCGGGAAAGGCAATGTGCTGAGTAACTTTTTTGGAAAAGCTGCAATGAGTAAGCATGTTTTTCTTTTTCCTTGGCTCATAAGTAAATGTTAACAAAATAGCATCATTGAGTGTAAGTTGTCTAGTTTTCCCATCTGGGAGATTGTACAGTGTACTGACTGATATATTGATGAAAGTAACCCAACTGAAGCAGTAGATTTTACGGGTTTCCTGAGCTCAGTTGAGATTTTTTGGAGGTAGTTTACCATTCCTGCTGTTATTTCCCACCTTGAAAAGAGAATGAAGTATTTGCTTTATATGCCTCTTGAAGATGTGTGGTTAAAATGAAAGCGGGACTGGTTGGTTAAGCAGTGTCGTGCTGAGGTTGATACCGGATGCTCAAGTCATTTTGCTTGCTGTGAGACCTTTATGACGCTTGTCTCTGCAAGGGGCAGCAAGCACAAATATTTTGCCTTTGTTCCTTTATTTTTTGCAAATTAATTTACAGTACTGAATGAAACCTCAGGGTGAATTAAAAGAGCCTGAGTAGTAATAGCCATTTAAAAAAAAATTTTTTTTGAGAAAATAAAAATTTCCACTTACTTAAAATTTTAAAAAAAGACGAACAACTATTGGCTTTTTAAATTGACATACTCTTATTACATAAAGTATAGTTATAGGGTTCAGTGATCAACTCAGAATAACTTAGTTTCATTCCTTAAATATGTCTTTCTGTTAGGAACCTTTTGCCTTGTCTCTTCTAGTTCTTTAAAACAGATAATAACTTAATGGAAATTATAAGTAAATTATTTTAGAATTGTCAAAATATATGAATATTTTACTAATTATGAAGCAGAATCTAAGTACAAAAGTGTATACTTGTTTATTTAAGAAATACTAGTTAAGTACCTACTACATGTTTGGCACTTCTGTATTACAGTGATAAAATAGAGAAAGAAGAGACAAATCCCATCCTTAACAGCCTTTATATTCTGCTAAGAGAAACAAACAAATGGATGTGGAAAAAAATAAAATAGTTATTGATTATAATTGCCAGCAGAGAGCAAAAGGACATTATGAGAGTCTTAAATAGGAGAGAAATCTGGAGAAAACAAAAGAATTAAACATTCACCTAATAAAAAGAATCACGAAGTTAATTTACTTAACAGATATTTTCTCAAGGCATGACAATAAAAATTAAGAAAGCTGATTGTGGGTGTTTGAACCATTTAAAATGTAACGCTGAACAGTAACAAGTGTTAGCAGGGATATAGAAAAGTTGAGTCCTCACATGTTGTGCTTAAGAAATGTAAAATGGTGAGTATACTTAAAAATGGTTCGACAGGGTAGTTATCACCTCAGATATGTCATTTCTCACATTGAGTATTAAAAAGAGATGCTTATAATCAGGTCATGAAAGTGTCTTCATCATTTAGGTAATAAGATAATGTCATTAAATTTTCCTGCACAATTTCCCAGAAATCTTGTATTGAATTATTTCTTTATGAGCTACATGGCAAGTTGTAACTGCATATATATGTAAGTTGGAGTTCCCAAAATACTGTTTGACCAAGAGAAAGAAGAACCTCTAAATCTATTGTTTCTTCAGTGGTACTTTTAATTCAGATCAGTTTTCTGAAATTGATAGATTCTGTGCAGTAACCCCTCTTCCTTGGCACAAGATAGGAGATACTTGAAGGTTATTCCTCTTAATGATATACTTGTAAAACATTTGCTAGTAAAACAATGTAATTTATATAATAAAAAGTATAATTTGAATAAATTATAAAAATATTGGGATTGACTGTTTATCTCTGGCACACTTAGAGATACATGCTTACTCTTGTACAATTTAAGATATTTTGGTGGAAAGATTAGAACCACTGGCACTTCAGAACAACAGTATTGGAAATGCAATAGAGTATGCAGCTGTTGGGTTGGTGAATTCCACCACCCCGATCACGCCCTGATCACTCATTTAAGTCTTTTTTTTTTAAGTGAGGTTGCATTTATAGACTTTGATCCATCATCTATGCTAAACTGAATGTGACAGCTGAGATTAAGGTAGCAGTTTTTATCTGTGGTTAGATGAGTGAGGCTGTTATATAACATGTAACCAAAGCTACTTATTGAGGAGCTTCCTGCTGTTTACAGCTGACAGTGTTTAGTGTCTTTGCTTGTAAAAAGAGCCCAGAGTGCAGTTTTGTGAAGGCCGGTTTATATGCTAACATAGTTTCTCAAATGGCTATTCCCATTTGCAGTTTCTTAGTTCTGTGTCTTACACAGTGCTTTTTGTATTTTTTGACTTACATATTGACAAAGGGATAGGTTGGCTTTTGGAGTGTTGGGGTAAAGTTGAACTTTCAAGTGTTAAACTAACTTAGGTTCATGTCTTGGCCTTTCACTTTTCTTTGTTATTACCTTGGATAAGTCAGTCTCACATATTGCTCTCTTAATCCTTACAGTAATACAAATATTATCCCTGTGATTACAGATAAAACTGACTTTGAGATAAAATAACTTGCCCAGAGTGAAGCAGATTTTGACTTAAATTTTTCTGACTCCAGAATAGTCTCCCAATTTTGTTTCTAAGGAAGGAATAAGATTAAAAGCATTGAAGCTTAAAAAGGTAGACTCTAGGGCCCAGCGCGGTGGCGCAGTGGTTAAGGTCCTCGCCTTGCATGCCCAGGATCCCATATGGGCACCGGTTCTATCCCAGCAGCCCCGCTTTCCTTCCAGCTCCCTGCCTGTGGCCCAGGAAAGCAGTCGAGGACGGCCCAAAGCTTTGGGACCCTGCACCCGCGTGGGAGACCCGGAGGAGGCTCCTGGCTTCGGACCGGCATAGCATCGGCCGTTGCTTTTACTTGGGGAGTGAATCATTGGACGGAAGATCTTCCTCTCTGTCTCTCCTCTCTGTATATCCGCCTTTCCAATAAAAAATAATAAAAATAAATCTTTTTTAAAAAAAGGTAGACTCTAGTAGGAAGAAAATTCCTTGCTACGCATTCTGTTATCACCAGTTACGAGCTGTATACTTTGGGGAAACATCTTTTAATCCATCTGACTCTTAAGTTTTCCTCATCTGAAAAGTGAGGATGATACCTCATAAAACTATGTGTATTTTTTCTAAGCTTTAGCTTTTACTATCATTTAGCTCAGGGGCTGCCGTAACCAGAGATTGGTATGAGGAAAGATGAAAACAGTTATAGCTAGAGTAGCAGTTGAAGAGGAGAAACATTTTCTGAGTAGACCCTGAGCTCTCTCAGGACAGGCCCTGTTTCTTATCCTTTTTGCCCTTGCTCTCAGTATATTACCTGGCACTTAGTAGACTGTCAAAGAATGATGGATTAATATTGCATGTTGGGGTTATATATCATCTGCTATACTTTATTTGTAGATAAAGTGAATTTGGATTCAGAACAAACAGTGAAAGAAGAAAAAACAGCAGAGCAATCTCCTGTGTGTGTCCCTGAACCGAAGCTGGCAGCTCCTGTAGGCCTGAAGAATCCCAGCAGAAAAGCAGAGCTTGTTAAGATGCAGCAGAAGGAAAAAAAAAGGTAGGAAAATATCGTTGCTTGTTTGGAAAGAGAGACTGCTTGAGGCAAGAAGGTCTGTTGGGCAGATTGGCAACAGGCAGTTTTTAGCTGAGTCCTAAATCCTTCTTGATACCTTAGGAATACAGCCGTACAACCAAAGAAGAGGGAAGCTTTGTGACTTATCTAGTGAAGTGGGTTGGTGTGGTCAGCTGTTTTGGATGATGATTTAGGGCCCAGAGTCTTTATTTTCCTGTTTTAAAATTTTTGACCCCTTTGAAGGAAATTGATCAGTTTTTCTCCCCTTTTTTTTTTCCATTTTCCATTTGTGGCCATGGCATAGGTATTACTGATTGTGTGTCTGTTTTTCACTTCAAATTGTCAAGTAAGGGTTACTGATTGCAGTCAAATTTAAGAGGAAAAGTTCTTTGTTTTCTTTTTATATCAATGAGTTTATTTTTCAAGTGGTAAAATGTAATTAGAAAAGAAAATAAAATGCATACAAGCTGTTAAGCTGTTAAAAATGGATCCAGGAATTTGAGACACTACCTCATAGCTGGTAGGAATTAGCTTGTTGAAAGAAAATCTAAAGGACGCTGTCAGCATTGATAGGCCCAGAAAGACCTGCCTTTTGTAGCAAAGTTTGAGCTACTCTGAGAGGAAAGTTTCAGCAAAAACAGTAGAATTTCAAATGGTTAAAGTACTGCCCAGTGAGCCTTTTAGGAGCATATGATATAGGTGGATTGAAGTATGCCTAGTCATAGGTTTAACACTCGCTGTTGATATTGGCAAGAATAAGAATGCGTTCAGTATTTCACTACCAGGTATTGTGTTAAGTGTATGTTTTTAGAAATGTTGAACTTACCTTGTATTTTGGGTTTATGCTCCACTTCATCATTGTCCTTTTAGTATATTGTGGGAGTAGATTTGTTGGTAAAACATTACAGATTTTTTTGCCTACTTTCACCTTTTTTGAAGGTGAAAAGTCAATTACTTTCTGGTAATGTCTCTGACAATTTTTAGTAACAAAATTATATAAATCTCATAAAGTTAATTGGAAGAAGCTTTTTTTTTTTAAGATTTATTTTTATTATTTTTTCATTGGAAAGGCGGATATACAGAGAGGAGAGACAGAGAGGAAGATCTTCCTTCCGATGATTCACTCCCCAAGTGAGCGCAACGGGCCGATACTATGCCAGTCCGAAGCCAGGAGCCTCTTCCGGGTCTCCCACGCGGGTGCAGGTTCCCAAAGCTTTGGGCCGTCCTTGACTGCTTTCCCAGGCCACAGGCAGGGAGCTGGAAGGGAAGCGGGGCTGCTGGGATTAGAACTGGCGCCCATATGGGATCCCGGGCGTGCAAGGCGAGGACCTTTAGCCACTTGCGCCACCGCGCCGGGCCCAAAGCTTTTTTTTTTTACAGGAATTTTGTTTCTTTAAAGGAATATTTAGAAATTTTTAAAGAAATAAGAGAATTTTTTTATTACTATTACATATTATTATTATTTTTTTTTTTTAAAGATTTATTTTTATTGGAAAGGTGGATATACAGAGAGGAAGATCTGCCTTCACTTGGGAAGATTCACTCCCCAAGTGAGCGCAACGACTGATGCTATGTTGATCCGAAGCCAAGAGCCTCTTCTGGGTCTCCCATGCGGGTGCAGGGTCCCAAAGCTTTGGGCCATCCTTGACTGCCTTCCCAGGCCACAGGCAGGGAGCCGGATGGGAAGTGGAGCTGCTGGGATTAGAACCAGCGCCCATATGGGATCCCGGGAGTGCAAGGCGAGGACCTTAACCATTGAGCCACCGTGCCGGGCCCTACATATTATTATTAAATAATAAAAAATAAAGGGATATTTCTTTTAAAAATAAATCTAGGCTTGGATACATATGTATAGTTTTTAAAAATTTGTCTTTATTTAAAAGATTTACAGGGAGAGAAGAGACAGATCTTCCATTCACTAGTTCACTCTTCAAGTGGCCACAATGGCTAGATCTGGGCTGGTCCGATCTGAGCCAGGAGCTTGGAACTTCCTCTGGGTCTCCTGTCTCGGGGCATGGGCCCAAGCCCCCAGGTCATCTTCCACTGCCTTCCCAGGCACACTATTGTGGAGCTGGATCGAAAATGGAGCAGTCCCTTAGCATACCTCTACTTCAGGGACCGTGGGATGACATTGGGTGGACGTCCCCCATTCCTGGGTTATGATACAGTCTGGCTGCTGGGAACAGCCCTCTTCTTTTCTCTCCACTTTCCTCCATTCCCTGACCCTCCCTCCCTAATTGGTAGTCCACAGGAGCATGCAACCCTTTCAACTATATAAATATCATTAAAAATAAAATGAATTTATTATTTTTTAAAAAGTAGAAAAGATGCCTTTTATTCCTCATGTAAATCTCTGTGCTAATGGAAAATTTTTTACAGTGGACATATAATATATTATAATTAAAATCAATATTAATAAAAATGTTACCATTGTTGGGGAGGGGGTGAGAAAGTAGAACAACCAGTGCCCATATGGGAATGCTGTAGCATCAGCCATATTGCTTCATTCCAGTTGACAAATGAGGTTTGTAAAAGGCTTGCTTTCTTAGGTTTTTCACAGAAATAACAACTTTTGACTTTGTTAAACCTCTGTTTTCTATTTAATTCATCTGCTCTTTATTATTTTCTTTTACTTCTTTGCATTTAATTGTTTCTTTTTAGCTCTAGATAAAAAGAAAAGCTGATGCTGAAATTTTGATAACATGTATTCTTATTTGATGGACAAAGACTATGTTTTGAATGTGTTTGTGTTTTTGACACACAGTAGGTCATATTTGTTGATTGAATGACTTGTATGATGGAGCATCCATCTATCCAGAGAAAGGATACAAAGCCTGGGCTTTGTATCATGTCATCATAGTCACCTTAAAGTCTTGTTTTTTTCTGCCATTTCTCGTATTGTGTTTTCTCTTTCATGTATTTGTCCCCTGGAATGAGCATTTAGCCTAGTGGAGAAAGTGCGTGTTGAGATTCCTGTGTGCTAAAGCTGTGCCTGCTCTAGCTGCTAACTCCAGCTTGCTGCTAACATAGATCATAGGAGGCAGTGGTTCCTGCCATGCACCTGGAAGATTAGATTAGAGTTCCCAAGTCCTTCCTAGTCCTGGCTCAGTCCTGGCCATTGTGAGAGAACCAGCAGAGGAGATCTCTCTGCCTCTCAAATAAATAAATCAAAATTTAAAAAGGAAAATATTTGTCTCCCCTTTCTACCTGATGAACTTCTCTACAACTTAAGTTTTTGAGGTTCTCAAAAAGAGTTGTGTTTCAAAACACATTTGTGCAGTAAACCTGATCACATTGTATTGTAGTTAATGGTGTTTGCCAGTGTTTTGTGAGAACACGCATTTCTTTCTTGGTCTTTGTATTTTAGTGTTTACCAAACAGCTTTATATATAGTTCATAGCTGTATTATGGTTTGTTGAATGACTGAGGACCAATATGAGAAATAAGATAAATTAAGAAACATTAACTTGTTTATGGCTTCACCTCGTCAATGGAGATCTAGAGGAATATTTTTCTCTGGCCACTGTATGAGCAGGTCACCCTATGTGACCTTGTTATGATTGGGGTATCCTTTTACTGGTCTGTTTTACTGTTCTTTTCTTCTTTTTTAAAGATTTATTTTGTTTTTCGGAAGGCAAATTACAGAGAGGAGAGGTGTTCTGTGCATTGATTCATGCCCCAAATGGATGCAGTGGCCAGGGCTGAGCCACACGAAAGCCAGAAGCTTTTTCTGGGTCTCCCACATAGGTGCAGAGGCCCCAAACACTTTGGACATCTTCTGCCGCTTTCCCAGGCACATTAGTAGAAAGCTGAATTGGAAGTGGAGTCAAGACAGGACACAACATGACACCCAAATTGGCTTTACTTGCTGTGCCACAACACTTGCCCCTTGACTATTCTTTTCTACCTTCTGCAATTAAGACTGTGAATTATAAAACTAGGCTGTATGAGCCCTGCTTCCATTTTTGTTGTATGTAACAGACTTCATTTATTCCTCAGGGGGAAGCGAGTAGAGTTATCTGACGATGAGACGAAGGAAACTGAGAATATGAAGAAGAAGAGGAGAAGAATCAAGCTTCCTGATTCTGATAGCAGTGAAGATGAAGGTGGGTATTGCTATTCATTTTTGACTATAATCATGATCTTTATATTTTTCCTGTGTGCTTGTTAATTTGGCAAATTATCAGATCATGGTTCTGATAAAACAGATTTCAAACAGGTATAAGTGCAATATGTTTCAACCTTAAAATTATTGTGACTCAGATTTGACTTCACTCTGGGAGAAAAGCCATCTGTTGTCCATGTGAGGCCCATGTTCCCTGTGGCAGCCCCTCTCCCCTGCCCTGCTGCTGCTGTAGGCCTGTTCCCCACTCCTCACATGGGACACTAACAACAAGGAGCTAGCCCTGCCCACTCCCATCTTCCTGCTCCTCCCCAGCCCCCAAGATTCTGGTTTCATCTTTCCTCTGTTCACAGACTACCTCTGGACAGTTGTTTTTTGTTCGATGTTTTGTTCTTAGACATCCATCACCACCACTGCTGTTAGTACCCAACACTCTTCCTCATTGCCTCCCTCTGTTCTGCCCACATCCCCTGCACTGGGACCATTTTCTCTCTCTCTCTTTTTTTTTTTTTTTTTTGAGGGTAGTGATATTCCTTTAAATACCTTCTTGCGATTCTTCTAACAATTGTGATATTCTAGGCATCAAAGGTGGTGGTGTTTATCATATTAGTAAAACCAGCATAAAACTGTAACAATTGGTTGAAAAACAGTTGTTGAAAGGGAGTGATGTTGGGGCCAGCACTGTGGTATAACAAATAGAACCACTGCGTATGGGGTAGGCATCTCACATGGATACCAGTTTGAGTCCCAGCTACTCCACTTCAATCCAGCTCCCTGCTAATGTATCTGGGAAAACAATGGAAGGCGGCCCAAATGTTTGGGACACTGTCTCCCACATAGGAGACCTGGAAAAGGCTTCTGGCTTCAGATTGGCCCATCTCGAGCTCTTGCTATCATTGCAGAGTGAATCAGCAGATGAAACAACCTTTCCCCCACTCTTGGTCCTTCCCTCTCCAACTCTGCCTCTCAAGTAATTAAATCTAAAGAAAGAAAGAGAAAATGATACTCTAGGCCCTTACAGTTGTAGTTGTAGACTCTGGGAAATGTAAGAGAAGCAAATGAGATAAAAACTAGAGTCTCACCAAGAAAACCAATATGCTTTTTAAAAGAATAAATGTTCTTAAAGAGCCAAGATAACTTCACAAATCATGGAAAGGGAAAGTATGTACAAATAGAAGGATGCTAAAGAGAAAGACACCTGGACTGAATTGGCATGCTGGGTAACTACTAGAGAAGTCAGCTTGGAGAACCCATGGTAGAAGGCTTGACCTGCTGAAATCAATTCTGCATGAGCTATTAACCTCATTAGGCATAAAACAATTTAGTTAGTAGGGGGTAATCTAGTCCAAAGGAATTCACTGTCACACAAAAGGAACACAGGCAAATGCAAATAAACTAACACTCAAAGAAGTTAAACAATGATGGAGTCTCAGTCAAGTCCTTATCTTGGCTGGATTCTGATGTGAGGCCAGCTGTACCTGCTTGTCTCATTCTGGTTGTTCCCCGCTGCTGTGTGCTGGCACATATCCAGATCTCCTATTTGGGCAAGTACTTTGAAGAGCACTATGAGTGTCAGCTTGCTATGTTAGTAAGGTCTAAACAAGTTCCAAAAACACATCTGATGGTATTTGAAGAGGAACAGAAGAGTGCCCTCTAGCAAAGTCCAGTCAGGTGCTCCTTAGATAACCTCCACCAAAAGATCAACAATAATATTTATGCTTATTTGAAACTAAATTATTTTTCCAAATTTATGTTTATTTAAACTGCATGATATATGTTCAAATTGAATGTTTAAGGTAGCATTCAGAGAATATTTTTAAAATGTTCACTCATCTATATCTGCATTAGCTATATTCATAGTATTAGAGCTCTGGTAAGTGTAGCTGCAAGTAGATTATTATAAGATACTTTATTCTCTTAGCCTGTTTGACTTTACCTGTTATGAACATACTTTACAAAGTTTCTGGAAAGTGGAATTTGAAGTTTATTTTGGTGATTAAAAACTGCAATCTATACATGATAGATCTTCAAGCAGTTTATGAAAAATGCATATTATTTAAAAACTGTGCATGGATTTCAGAAATTTTGGCACCAAAATAAGTTTATGTCTTAATTTTACTTTATATAAACCTTGTGAGTTGCCCTTTTATGTTGTTTTTTTTTTAAATATTTTTTATTTATTTTTATTTAAAAGGCAGATTTACAAAGAAAGAGAAACAGAAGGAACTTCCATTTGCTGATTCAGTTCCCTAAATAGCTGCAGTGGCCAGAGCTGAGCCAGTCCGAAACCAGGAGCCAGGGACCTCTTCCAGATCTCCCTTCAGATTGGCTCAGCTCCAGTCATTGCAGCCACTTGGGCAGTGAACCAGCAGATAAGAGACCTTTATCTCTGTCTCTCCTCTCTGTTAATGTGATCTACCTTTCCAATAAAATAAAATAAATCCTTTAAAAAAAAAGATAAGGATTTCTTTATTATATAATAAAGGTAGATTTACAGAAAGAAAAGTTCCATCTGCTGATTCACTCCTCTGTCAGCTTCAGTGGCTTCAACTGAGCTGATCTGAAGCCAGGAGCTTCTTCTGGGTCTCCATGTGGTGTAGGGTCTGAAGGCTTTGTATCATCCTCTACTGCTTTCCCAGGCCACAAGTAGGGAGCTAGATGGGAAGTGAAGCATTTGGGACAAGAACTGGTGCCCACATAGGATCCCGGCACATGCAATGTGAGGATTTAGCCATTGAGCCATTATGCCGGGCCCAAAATAAATAAATCTTTTTTTTTTAATTGAGTTAATTCAGAAAAGGAATATGCAATGCTGTCAAAGAACAAAACTAAGAAAAGCTATCCTGACTGTTTTACTTCCTCTCCAGTTCCCTGCTAATGGCTCGGGAAAGGCAGTGAGAGATGGCCCCACTGCCACCCAAGTGCTTGGGCCCCTGACACCCAAATGGGAATCCTGGAAAAAGCTCCTGGCTTTGACATTCCCATCCCTGATCATTGTGGCCACCTGGGATATGATCCAGTGGGATCTCTCCAAATTTCCCTCTTATTGTGACTCTTTCAAATGGGGGAGGGAAGTCAACAGAGAGAACTGAAACTAGTAACTGAACTCCCCCAAAAGGGCGTTACCGTAACAAGTGAAAAAAGGCATATATGCAGATGACAGTAACACAAAAGAAATGAGCAAAAGTTGATACTAAGAAATAATACTAAGAAGTTGAAGTACTCTGTGATGAAAGTGCCACCTTTGAGTTTTCTGTGGGTTTATGTCCTACTATTCATGGTTAGCTGTTAAGGGTTGCAGTCTATGATATACTGCAAGAGATACAGTAGTGCCATTCAGGGCGTGGCTTTTTATGGCAACTTGGAATGAGTAGGGGTAGGACACTTAACACAGCGGCAGTTGCTATATTTTCATTTCATGTCATTTATCAGAATGCTTGATCAAAGCTACTGAAAGGAAAAGTCTCAAAGGGAACATTTCTAGGAACAGAGGAAATATAGACAATTCCATGCAGGTACATGGGAAAATAGGAAGTAAATTTAGTAATGTAATGCTAATTAGAACCATCTTCCCTGTTTCCAGTCAGAAAGAGAACTTGAAAACATTCTGGAAAAGTCTCAAACTGTCAGTCATTGCATTTCAAAAAGATAAAATTAGATATTCTAGTATTAATGCAGTAGTCAGAGTTAAGGAATTACTGTGGTTGGTTGTGCAGACATTATATACTTCTAAAATATCCTCTGTAATTCTGATGTGTAATCTACCTGAGTTGATTAGAAATTTGAGTGGAGTTACTAAGTTTGGAAAGGAGTGTGAAGAAGTAGAAGAGAGGTACAGGCTGAATACATGATACAGAGTATAGCCTTTTGGGTTTTTTCCCTCTGGGAAAGATAATTTGGCATCTGGCTAAATATGAACTTTTTTGCCATTTTATAAAATTTCTTCTTTCCTCAAAGCCAGTGGAGCTGCAGTTTAACCCTTTGCACAGTCTGGGTTTCTGTGTTGCTTCTGGTACACTGATTATGTTAGTTCAATATCTGTGTTCTTTCTCTTTTTTCTTTTTTTAAAGAATTATTTACTTATTTAAAAGAATTGGAGAGGCAGGGAGATTGAGCCTCCAGGCCTGCTAACAGGGAGCTGGATCAGAAGTGGGACATCTGGGGCTTGAACCAGCGCCCATACAGGATGCTGGCATCCAGTATACTGTGCCACAACACTGGTGTCTAATGTGCTCTCAGGCTGAAAGGTGGCAGAGGAGCAGCAGCAAGTACTTTGGAATCATATCAAAGTTCTAGTTTTACTTCCATCATCCACTTTATGATTTTGGGCCAATTACTAGGGTATTTTTTTTTAACTTATTATTTTTATTTGAAAAGCACAGTTACAGAATGAGGAGAGTCAGAAGGATCTTCCATCTGCTGGTTCACTCCCCAAATGGCCACAGATGCCAGAGCTCAGCTTATCCAAAACCAAGAGCCAGATGCCCAGCCCCAAGCACTTGGGCCGTCTTCTACTTCTTCCCAGGCACTTCAGCGGGGAGATTGATTGGAAGAGAGGCAGCAAGGACTCCAGTAAGGACCTGTGTGAGATACTGCTACTGGAAGTGAACGCTTAACTCCCTATGCCATGGCGCCAGCTCCCAAATACTAGTTTAATTCCTTATTTCCTCATCTCTGAAGTGGGAATTGTTACCACAAAGTACATAGGCTTTTTATAAACATCAAGTAAGAGGTTCTATCAGAAGTGCCAAAATAACACTTGGCACACAGCTTTTCTTATTTCTCAGTCTAGCCTTGTTTGCGGTATATTTAACAGTAGTAGGTATACTTGCAAGGATTCTCTCAAAAAAAATCTCTTCATCTTTGTAACTCTACTCAAGGGACTCTTTCTCTTTCACTCTGGTAACATCATAAGCACCTCTACTTGCTCTGCTATTACAAACACTGTGTAATGTAAATAAAGCAAAACAACACAAAATGCCAGATCCAGAAAGAAATAACATGAATGTCTGATTTTCTAGGAAGAAATAAAAAATTTAACTAATAGATTTAAGTGTTTGCTAACTTTTTCAGTCCTTGCAAGTGGCTTGTGCAGAATGTTTAGGTAAGGATATGTCTTAAAAATATTGAGTTGTAAGAAATAGCTATAAATGCCTCCCAGGAATTTTAATTACCCATCTCTGCCAGGGAACTCTGACCAACAAGTGGTTGCATTGCTAGATTCCTGAAATTACTTTACCACGGTTTATGTTCTGCCCCCAAAAGGTTGCTTTCCTGAGATGAGTGATGTCTCAGTACTTGACTCTCTTTCCTCTAAAAAGCTTCAGATTTGCTACAGATACATTTAAAGTACACCAATATTACCACACATCCCTTATTCAGTGTCACTGAAAATGCTTTGAGTAAGATGTTATGGTTGGTTAGCAAAAAAAAAAATATTAAGGCAGACGTGTAGATTCTAGTGTATGAATGTGGACAAGATTTTGTTTCTTTGAACATTGATTGTATAAAGCAAATAACAGTAATTTTGTGGGCTTATTATGAGATAAAATGCTATTTTATAAAGCTCAGAAAAATGTAGTGGCTTCCTCTGTCCTTTTCCTCCTTGAAATATTATGTTCATTTTAAGGCTTAAATAAATTAGATATATGCAGTTTTAACCATCAGATAAAACTGAGTTTATCGTAGGTGGTAATCTGTATCATCTGACTCATCTAACTGTTCTCTTGTCAGCTTTGTCCAGTTGCTTTCCATCTTCCAGGGCTTGTTGAAATTTTCTTTTTCCAGGTTTTATTTATTTGAAAGGCATCTATTGGTTCATTCTCCAAATGCCCACAACAACCATGGCTACAACTAAGACAGGAGCCAGGAACTCCATCCAGTTCTCCCATGTTGGTAGACAAGAACCCAAGTGTTTGGTCCATTATCTTAGCCAGAGGCTGGATTGGCATTAGAGCAAACTTGATCCCAGGCATGCCATTATGGGCTATAGGTGGACCAGGCAGTGGCTTAACCCCAGTTCAGATTTCTTATTCATTAAATGTTCTTTTTCATTAAGGACTCTTGATTGCTCTCCTATTCTCTTTCCTTGTTACTGGAATTCCTTCATTATCATGTTTCTCTTGGGGATGTGTGGATTGATCACTCTTTTCAATGCCAGAGAAGTTGTGATGTCTGCTATTTATTGCTGAGAGTCTAGAGAAAGGTATCTAGATAAGTACAGTGGGAGGGACCTTAGAGGGTACTGTTTAGGATTCAGTGTTTCCCTGGTTAAGTCAAGTGGTTGCAGAACTGGAAATAGAATCAGAGCACCTGGATGTGTTACTATGAATCCTCCAAGTTCCTTCAGCTTCCTCACCCTGAACTCTCTGCCTCTGTGACACACCTACCATTGCAATCCAATCTTCCTGGCATTTGTTCCTTGTGAACAACAGCCGCTCAATTCTGAGGTTTGAGTTTTCTTGCTTTAGCTCCCATCATGTTCTAGCCTCCCAAAGCTGTGTTAATAGCTGGACCACTCTCCTTTATTCTTTTTTCTTCTTTTCTTTTCCTTTCTTTTCTTTTGTTTTCTTTTCTTTACTTTTCCTTTCTTTCTTTCTTTCTCTCTCTCTCTCTCCCCCTCTCCCTCCCTCCCTCCCTTCTTTCCTTCCTTCCTTCCTTCCTGTCTTTCTTGTCTTTCTTTGTTTTTTTTTCTTTGTCTCTTGTTTCCCAGAGTTTATAAAGTCTTGGGGCCCGTTTCGTACTTGAAGTGTATAATTTATTGCTTTGTTCTGGCTTTTGTTCTACTTCACCTCTTGAGGTCATTTGACCTTGAACTCTTCACTGCCATAATTTTTAACACTGACCTAATCAGTTGGGAGAATTTCAGATGCAAGGCTTGTGCTAAGAATTCAAACACAGCCAGGATGTTCAGGGAGCAGGTGAGGCTACGCAGTCTCCCGACCAGCAGTTTCTTTGTGGTGATGAAGCAATAGGTCAGCTGAGGATATTTTCACTTCCCTTCTCTTGGGCCTAATTCTAAGACCACTACTGCTGTGGAACTGCTGAGGACTGATGAGATCATTCTGTTGACACTCTCAGGTGATACCTTTTCCATAGCTATATGGGTTCCTTCTTCCCTGAAAATCTCTATAGCCACACAAACGTCATCAGGGGGCATTCACATCAGTAGAAATAATGCCATGTAAAATGTTAAGGGGCTATAACTGTGATCATTTCAAAGATGATTTCAAAGACTTGTTCCACTAAAACACAAATGGTGATTGTGAGTTGTCGAATCACAGTCATAGCAGTTCTGGCATGGGACATTTAATATAATCTGAGGATTAATTCCATGTTGTAGATTTTGAAAGAAAATAAGTGATGGTCAATAATAAGGCAACAGTGGTTGTTGGGTTAGAAAAGGCTGTGAGGAGCTCAACACATTGGCTCAATGGCTAAGCCCTCAACTTGCACATGCCAGCACCCCATATGGGTGCCAATTTGTGTCCCAGCTGCTCTACTTCCCATCCAGCTCCCTGCTTGTGGCTTGGGAAAGCAGTCAAGGAGACCCAAAGCCTTAGTATCCTGCACCCACGTGGGAGACCCAGAAGTCCTGGCTGCTGGCTTCAGATCGGCTCAGTTGCAGTCATTGCAGCCCCTGGGGGAGTGAACCAGTGGATGGAAGATCTGTTTCATTCCCTGCCTTTTCAATAAAAATAAATAAATCTTTTGGAAAAAAAAAAAGTAGTAGAAGAAAAAGGCTATGGAATTAGACTGACATGGGTTTAAAACCACCTGTCTCAGTCACAAATCTGTTTAACCTTGGCAACTCAAGGAACCCCTCCGAGCTTTTGCCTAGACATAATGTGTGAGTAATAGCTGCCTCTTTTGGTTGTGATGAGGCTAAATCGAAACAGATGACAAGTTAACTGTGCAGTCCTTGGTTGGCAGGAATTACTGCTTGTAAAATGCTATGTCTGGACATGGAAGGCTAGAGATGCCAACACAAAAGGCTTGTACTAGCTATTACGTGTAGTTCTCTTAGTTAAGCTTATCTCATTATTTCAGTCTGCCTAGACTCTCCTGGGGCATATGAAGCTGAACCGTCACCCCCACCTCCACCTGTGTCTCCACCTCCTGAGCCAGTGCCAAAGACTGAACCTGAGCCTCCTTCCATCAAGGTAAAACCCCTGGAACACTGCAGTTTCTGGTGCCCTTTTTCACCCCACTGTGCTGAGTCAGTTCAGTTGCTGTATACTGCACAAATGTCAGTTGATGACTCTCGTCTCATTTGACTCTCCTCTATGCTGTACAGAATGGCTTTTCCCTGTCTTCCCACCTGAAGGGTGATTTTGTTGTAGGGTGTAGTTTCAGGAAGTTTTGCAGAGGTGGATCCAGACAACTGGTTTTGTTTGTTGAGTGTAACCTTTTGCATTAGGGCTGCTTTGCTGTAAGGATTTTGTTGGAATTGTGCAAAAAGAGGTCATGCCTGCATCACAGCAAAGTATGAAAACTAGAGGGAAACCAAGAAATCACGTACAGTTGTGACCCTTCAGAAAGCTTTTTGGTAAAGTGCTTGCTGGCAGGAGCTGGCCACACAGTTTTGAGCGACCTCTAGCTGCACCTTGTCTGCTTTGTTGGCACATGTTTTCCTTAGTACATTGTGTGTAAGACCATCATTTAAATCTTGCAGTCATTTCCTCATTAGCCAAAGAGAAATGGAATGAAAGGAAATTGGTATTAGATACCTGTTTAAGACTAAATTAAGTGAGTGTAGTATAGAAAGTTCAGTGTTGGCATAACAAGTAACGTAACAAGCAGCAACAAACCCCTGATTTGGTTCAGGAGTGCTCTCATAATGTCTGCCTGCATCTGCTTGAAAGCCCAAAAGACTGCTCATCTTTTTAACCATGTTGCTTGCACTATCCAACAGGTGCTGATGGGCTTTTTTCATTATTGAATGAATGAACACTGTTCTTTCCTCAGTATGCCACTTCCCTTCTCATAAGTAATGAGCCAGCAAACCTACATCTACAGTGAGCATAACTTATCTGTGTGGCAGGGTTGGTTCCCCTGAAAGTCACACATGAAGTTCCTCTTTCAGCTATTTTATCAAAGTATTAGCAGGTGATTTTTACAGAAGAAAAAACTTTTGCTATTTTCTCTATAGCTTCACTGGTTTACATTATCCTTCTTTGGTCTTTCTTTTAGAACTCAAGAGGAGAAAACAGAAGAAAACGAAGGCGTGTTCTGAAATCGAAGACCTTTGTGGATGTAGAAGGCTGCATGGGTAAGACAGAGCTTTGTCTCTGAAACCAGAGAGTTGTTACCTGAAGGAGCCACCATAATCCCCTATGGAACAGGAAGTCTCAGACTCAAATGTGCATATGAATCATCCACAAGCAATGCTAATGCTGCTTGTGTATGGGCCTTACTTTGAATAGTGTCTGGAGGGCTACGACAAAATCAGGACACGTGGGCTCTTGTTTGGGCCATACGTCATAAAAAGTCACTATAATCTTGGCCAAAAGTCAAGTCACCTTCAGTCGGGTGGGATGCCCATTTTACCTAAATGTAGAGATAAGATTGAGGTGAGACGATATGACTGAAAACCCCTTGAATGTAGAAACAAAAGTGTAAATTGAGGATGCTGTCATCATAGATGTTGGAACAGTCATTGTATTAATGCAAACAGTGTAAAGAAACCCTGCTGATGTATTAGACTCTGAAGAAAGTATCCAGGGTGTTTGGTATTTGTTCCTACTTTTAATTCAGAGGGGGATGACTCACCCAGATTGCTTCTTCAGATTTCCTGTTTATAAGCCATGTTAGGTAAAAGCATGTGCCCGTAATGAAGGCCAAGAGGGCAGTCAGAATCCAGGCTTTGAGGCATTGGCAATGGCTAATTCCTCAACCAGGTTTTAGTTTCTTCTACCCCTGCCACAAGCAAACCAGACTTAGGTGGGGTAACTTTTGGGAGTAAGTTCCTGAGGCCTGGTTAAATGCTTAGATTCCCTAATACTGTATTTTTTGTGTTTGGAAAGTGTTGTGAGTTTAGGCTGTCAAACCTCTTTGTCAGTGGGGTGATCCATAACCTTTGTTTCTTGTTGGTGGCACCTGCCGTAGCTTGGTTCTCCTAGTGAAGGTTTTCCCCTCCTTTCTTGATCTTCCAGTTCGTATTTTGAGCTTAAAAATTTGACTCTGAAGAATCAGCTTTTGCTAGACAGTGTGATAGTTAAATCTAGCAGAGACAGTATGTTTGTTTGGTACCCATTCCCCTTACACTGCACTTCTCTTTCTGAAAGAGCCTCTGCCATTTTTGGTGTAATATGTAATCAAGTTCCTTGTATGTGGAGATCCTGCCTTCTCAAGGCCAAATTTCTTGAGAATCTGTGAATCGTGAACTTTGCTTTGTTTTGTTTTTATTTTCCATCTCCTAATAATTCATTTTGATACCTCTTAGTCTAGTCACTGATGGTTGCATGTGTATTTATTGCTGAATATATTTTTTATTTGATTTTGAATTTAAGAGGACAAAAGGGACCAGTTTTTTCCTCTTCCATCTTTCTCATCCCTCTCCTCCCCAAAGTCAAATATATCTTTGAGACAGTTCATTGGGGATTTGTGGCTGATTACTTATTGCTTAGTTCAGAACATGTTACTTAAGCTTTGGCCAGGTGTGGGAAATGGACTTTTTTGCACTTGTGTCTCCAGACAGGACTGTTAACAACCTTGGACACAACAATGAAAATGAAAACTATTCACATAGCACTTTTTTTTTTTTGTAAGATTTTTTAGTCCAAGCTCAGCCTAATGAATCTTGGCTTTGGTTACCAACAAAAGAGTTCTGCTTTCCTCTCAGACAGTTCCAAATGTGCCAGCACAGGGGCTTGCACTGTCCTATGCTGAGTCAGATTTGTTCTCTGGATTTAAAAAGCTGATCTTTCCATTCTTCCGAGTTTGCCACAGCAACTTGGGAATTGTGCCCCTGAGATAAGTTTGTGGTGGACTTCTGGACAAAAGATAGAATTCTAAAAGCAAAGCAGTTGAATGGAAAAAAAAAAAACAGATGCTACCCAGGCAAATCAGGGTTTTTTTCAGTGATAACCCATAAAGTTAGAGATTCTACATCCTTTAAGTTGAAATCTTTGTCCTACTGTAACTTGAAGTAGCTTTGGTGTTGAATGTAAAAATATTCCTTTTAGCTCTTCAGGTACATCGAATAGACTGCTTAAGAAATTTTGTTTGTACTGCCATAACTTGTTTCTGATTCCTCCCAAGCAATGTAATGCACAAAATTGGCAATAAGACAGCCATTGGTTTCATTATTAAGTAATGAAATAATGAACTAATTTGTGCCAAAGTGTAACATGGACATTTGAATACAGAATATAGATTATGAATGAATAGTTTTCCATCAACAACTACTATTAAGTCACTTCTGTATCTACAATGGATTCATCAGGTTTTCTTTTAAGGTATGGAATAAATAACAACTCATAATTTTGTTCTACTAGTCCAGCAACATGTTGCTTTGGAAGAGGCGTGTGTGATGCTATCATAATCACTGAATTAAGAATTAAGCAGTGGCAGTTCCTTAAATGTCTTACAACAGTGAATCTATGTATTACTTGAAAATTTTGCTGAAATTGAAATTCTGGTTCAGTAGGCCAGTCTCAGGAGACTAACAGTTCAGGTGTGTGGACTAAAGCTGAAGTAGTAAAGTCTTCTCATATGATTGAAAGCGAATTGGTAGTTTTTGTCCCTTAAGTGACAGAAGTCACCAAAGTAAATTCTGGATTGTAAAAAGTAAAGACAAATTCTAAGAACACTAATGAAAGAAGGGATTGTTACTTGTACAGCCCCAATGAGATTTGATGTTCAAACAGTAATAGCCAATTGACTTCTTGCATGGTTTGTTGTGAATGGAGAATAACATTGAGGAGCACTTGCCAGAGATTGCTAACCACATCTGCATATTCCACTGTTAGCTCCATTATAACAGAAAGAAAGAATATTGTTCTTTTATGAGAAAAAATATCTGTCATTCTGTGATTTGAACACTCTGTGACCCAAGAAAGATGCTTTTCTTTATTGTTTCTTCATCCCTTCCTGCTGCCAGAAAGTCTGAAAGAATTTAGATAGCATTGGTTATGTATACACAGCTCCCGCAGAAAGGTGGTATTATGCTGTGTGTTATGTGGTTGGCATATGTATTGCACTAGTATTGAAAGAGTTTCAGTTCTATGATAAAATGATTGGAAGCCACTGGATCTCAATCATTGGAATAGTTCTTTTCTAGATTTCCTTTTTGAGAGAGTTTGTGAAGTTTTAATGATTTTTGCCTTTGGCTGATAGGGAATCAGAGAACTGATAACATTTCTCATTTTTCCTTGTCTTTAAATTATCAAGTATGTCATCTGATGGAATTTGCTTGGAACACTTACCTTCTTGATGTTGACTATTGCTAAATCTCAGATTAATTAGCACTCAAACGGAACTCAGCAGTTGAATTTTGTTGTTTGAATGTTCAGGGTGGGTCACATCAGGATTGAGCTACCCAGGAGGGCTTAGGGTGGTGAGCCTGGCTAGACCCAAGATGTAAGACCAGGAAAACCAGCAGTGGAAAAATAGGCATTATGGGTCAGGGACATGAGACTCAAGAGGTCAGAGTATGGAGTTAGAAGTAGGTGTTGAGATGACAGTTCAGCCCTACAGCTCAGGAAGTCAACTAATATACACCATGACCCAAAATAAGAATTTGGGTTATTAAATAATCAGGGCTCATTTAAAGGCATAGAACATAGCAGTTGGGCAAGCAAGGTTGAATGTGGATTCTGATCCTGAAATGAGGCTCTATGAGTTCAGTGCACACCTATCTCAGAGCTTGAATGATTCGAGTGAGCAAGATGTTGTATTCTCTGATAGAGTAAATGACTCAACCCACACGTGTCCCATTCTTTCCTCATCATGCCAGTGACCGAGAAGATCTACGAGAGTGAGTCCTGCACAGATAGTGAAGAGGAGCTGAAGGTGAAGACAGCCTCTCTACACAGACCCCCTGCCGTGGCTTTGAAAAAGGAACCCAAAGAGGAACGAAAGGGCCCCAAGAAAGGGACTGCTTCTCTGGGCAAAGCCAACAGACAAGTGTCCATCACTGGCTTCTTCCAGAGGAAATAAACTGCCATTTCTGGGAGGCCAGAGATTTGGAGTGGTCAAGGGAAGAGACCAAGAAGTACTGACTTTCACTTACTGTGTAAGTTCAGCCAGCTCCTCGCCTCACTTATATCAAGACTATATTTCCATCCTGTGAGGTGTATACTATTTCTGGTTTTTAACCAAAAGGAAATCACCTACAAGCAGGATGCAGAAGATTTAAAAAGCTGTTACTTTCAATGACATGAGCACAACTTTGATCTGCAAGATGAAAAATTCACTTCACAACTGAATTGGAGCAGGTTTCAGAATCACCACTGAAGCGCGTTGGTGATGAGTCTGCTGTCCCTCTCATCCTGTGCCCTGACCTGGCCATGGCTCGGAATGTGTGCTTCCTTATTCCTTGTGTTCTGTGAACTTGAGTGCTTTTATCCTCAGTTCTGCTGGATGTGTCTACCATTCCCTGCTCCCCTTCCCATGACAACACTTCTGGCTCTTATCCCCATGAAGCTGTTTATCTTTTTGTTCTTGAACTAAAGACAAACAGAAATCTCCCTGTGATTGTCTTTTTGCATGAGACAGCACACTCATGCCTGGCTGCACACCAACACAAGGCTTGTGTGCCACCTGATTGGTGAAAGCTTTCTGAAACTTGACTTATAGTCAGAGGTTAGGAAGAGCAAGTGGCAGTTTGTTGATGGATTGGACTCCACCAGAAGCGAAGAACTTAGGGGAGCTGACCTGTTGCCGGCCCAGGCCATGCCCCAACCCTGCTCTATGTGGCTTGTTGCTCCCCACACCCTCTCACTGCCCACACCTAGAGAGGGAGACCCTTCACTGAGTTCACAGAGAAAACCCTTCCTCCAGAGAGCAAACAAGGTGCTGTGCTCAATGTCTCCCTCTCCGGGAAATGAAATGTTGAGAAAGGGCAGCTTCCCATAAAATCAGTGAGGAACATAGGACACATGTTTGTACACAAATGTCACCCCTCTGTATTTTCATCTACTGAAAACTGTTTGCAAGTACAGGCTCCCCAAGAAGAGATGGAGAAAGCTACTAAGTTGTGGCAGAGTCTAAGCATGGAATGAAACATTTTCCTCTGTTATCCTGGAAAGCCTCCCGTTCCGATGATAATTATAATTGTCAGGCAACTTCTGTCTCAGCAGGCCTGGTGCTGAGCGCTGTGCATTGAGCTGCTGTAGAGGTGATCTCGCACCGTGAGCGCTGAGGGAAGGAACCCAGGCTGGGCTTGGTGATGTGACTCACCCACAGCAGACAAGCCATGTCTGACCTGCCCCTGTCGCTTCAGCCTGGTGTGTGTCGTAAGTGACGCAATCAGCAGTCTACTGCTGAAGGTTAGCCTTGTGCCTGACCTTGGGATTAACACAAGCTCCTTTAGCAGTCAAGCATGGACTTGATTAAGACCAGAAGCTGAGGAGATGAGTCCTGGTGTTACGTCTAGCGCTTGAGAAGGCATACGCTTTGTATAGCATGCCGAGTGAAAGTTGACATGTTCCCAAGATGCTTTCTTTTTAAAATGAAAAAGATTGGAAAGCCTGAACTTAAAGCTTGACCCGCCCCCTGAAAAAAAATTCTGGAAAGGAATCCCTTTTAAATGGTTATTTTTGTCATTGCCTCTAGTCACTTTTTTCAAAATAGGAATGGAAAATTTAAAGAAAAGGGCAGCAGCCCAGTCTCTCTTTTTCTAATTATTGTTCTGGGATCTCTAATAAAAACTGAATTTGAATTGGAAAAAATGTGGTGCTGGTTGGAGTTCCATCTTTCAAGGGATAATGCAGCTTCTCTGATGTCTCTGACTCAATATGCGGCCTCAACTCTCAGCTGTCTGTGAGACTTACTAAGTATGAAATAGTGGCTTTTTTCCCTTCTCTTTTTATGCAGTAGTCTCCCTTGTTAAATAAATTCAAGCGATTGTTTTAAAACAGAGCTTTGACTGAATGTCTGATAAGTCTGTTATCTGACAGCACCACAGAAGTGTGCAGCTTTGTACACGCTGAGGAGAAGGGAACCAGGCTGATTTCCTGTTTGTTGTTAATTACTGTATACCCACAGTCTTAGATGGACAAGTTGCTTGCTGCCTTCAGTATTTGTTCAGCCCTGTGGGGAATCTTCGTTTCAGCCAAGCTCCCTTTTTAAATTCCTTTGGAAAAAAATCTCATATTATTTTGGCTTCATCACTTACTAGGTTGGGCTCGGGCAGATTTCTGACTCATGAGTTCTTTATCAGAACAGAATAAAGTTGAGTTACTAGGAGTATCAAGACTGAAGTCATATAGCGTAACTTTGTCTGTAGTGGCCCTGGTCGCTGTTCACATCATGCTTGGTTTCTTATCTGAGGCTGTAAGTGATACAGTCAGCTGCCAGCTGCCTGTAGTATTGCAAGAACCCAACCCAGGCACTCTGCTCTTCCTGTGTTGTTCTATGTATACTCATAGTCCAAAGGGAAAGATAGGGAGAGTGTTATCCTTGTTCCTGAGAGATCTTAAAGAAAGTGCATCTTTTCCTGTGGAAAGAAAATGAGATTTGTAGAAGGCTATATTTGCTATTCATTAAGACTTTTTTTTTTTTAATACACAGGTTGCAGGTCTTTGACCTGAGTGCTAGAGGATGTAATGGAAACTATGGAATGTGGTGCTTGTCCTCAGGATCTGGTGGAACAGACTGGCCAGGAAAATGACAGACAAGAGTGTAGTGACAGTCTGGGGTCCTCTGGGAGTCCACGGGAGGGTGGGTATTGAGGCAGTCCCCTGGAGGGGAGGACAGCAAGCAGTTCTTTGAATGAGAACAAGGGTTTTAACTGGCAGAGAGGCACGGAAAGAATTTCCAGGCAGAGGAGCCTGGCTTGGGGGCTGGGAGTGGGTGGGAAATGGACTGTATGAAACTGGAGGAAAATGTATTCAGAACTGATGGCTGTGATCTTGCTAAGAAGTTTTGGTTTTAGCTACAGCTAATGGGGGCCAACTGGAGAATATTAAGAGTAATTTTAGAAGTTGATTCTGTTAACTGGAAAGCTGGCATTTACTTTGATTTTGTGGGCCATGATAATATTTGTACCTGTGAATGCATATTGTATCTTAGTTATAAGACTGCCTAATGTTGACAACCAGCACAGTTCATTTCACTGTTTCCTTTGTCTGCCCCTATCAAGGTGGAATTATTGAGCCAGTTTAGTTTTTAAAAAGTGATTTTTAAAAGCTTATAGATCTCTGACCCCTCAGTGATGTGAACCTCCACTTAGCTCACTGGGGGAAAAAAAAAACTGAAGGAGCCAGGGAGATGAGTGGAACAGTTCTATTCCTTTTCTATCTTTGTTTCTTTAAGAAGACATTAGTTATTATACAGGGGAGAACTGAAGAGGAGAGCCATATAAGGAAACTAAATAGTTTCTCCAGGACATGAGTAGAATGAGTGCCTAATAACAACGCATTTGCCAGAAACATACTCTGTGTCAAGACTCGTTTTGGTAAACTCGTCTCCTTTCATTGGTTCCGGGATCTCAGAATGCTGTAATGCCTTTTTACCACCATGAAGCTCTCTGGGACTGCCTCGTTCTGTTGTGAGAAGGCAGTGTTGCTCTCTGAGCAATTGCGCTGGCGGCTCTGTAAATTAGTACATGCTGTCACCATGCCCTCTCTGAAGGGCACATTGTACCCAAATGACTGCCATCAGGATGGACTCTTGCCACGCCCTGCCCCATGACTCTTCTCTCTACTTGTATCTGTATCCAGGTTTTTGTTTTTTTTTTTTTTTTTTTAATGTTCTTACACATAGGCCACCCACAGATTGCCACCCAGGCGCCTTAGCCAGAGAAGTACTTGGTAAGGCTCCTTTCTGATCCAATACTTTTCCATTGGAGCCGAACCCACCTGAACTCTAGAAATCCCCTACCCATTTCAAACCCTAAATGCTGGCTGCCTCCCTGCCACCTCCTCTGCCCCAACCCCGCACATTTATTTTCCTCGTCTGCTTTTGCCAGACTCCTTCTTGAGACTTCACCTTGGCTCTCCCCCCAGTTTTCTTTAATACCTGAAGCTCCTCCTAGCTAGTCTGTGCTGCTTTTCTTCTGGTCTCCCTAGGCTTACTTTTTCTAGCACTCTGCTACCATAGGGGCTGTCTCATCTTGGACTGCTCTTGAAGAACAGAAAAATCACTTTGTGTAATGTCTGCTTTGGATCATTCAAATCCAACACATCAAGCAGTTGTTGAGTGCTAGTTATGTTCGGTCCTGGATGGTATACTGTGAGGATTGTATGAGCCCAGACATTAACCATGTGGGAGGGACAGAACATCCCACTAAATGGCATATTGCAGTTGAGAGCAGTTAGGTACGTGCTAGGCAGGAACTCAGTAACTCAAGAGAAGAACTGGGGTAAATTGTAAGGGGCTCAATCTTATAGTCTTCTGTGAAGCATTTAAGACAAGAAGCAAGCTGAGTAACGTTCCCCATTTTTAGAGGAGTTTCTTTAGCTGTGTACACGTCAGCTACCCTTTATACACTCAGGGTTGAAGTAAACCATTATTAAGTGACTCTTTAACCGAGTTATTTCTGGTCTACCTTACATATGAGAATATTGACAAGAAAGCAAACAGCTTCCAGGTCTGATTTCAAAAGGCAGTTGATAGAATGCAAACCAGTTCAGTGTCAGTTTTGTACACAGTTCTGGCATACTGGGAAAGCAAGGTGCTGTGATAGCAGCAACCCATGCTGGGGGCACACGTGCTCCTGGATTCAGGCCCAATTTGAAACACTGACCTTAGGTCAGGTACCTTTCCTCTGTAGATTCCAATTTCCTCATCTTTGAATTGGTTAGCATCTACTTTAAAGTTTTTCTAAGATTTAAAGAGGGTACACATAGGCAGTGACTAATATTTTGAAACATGTCTAATGCAAAGCCAAATGGCAGTTTAAAGGAAAAAAAAGTTTTCATTTTCTTTGGAATAGAATACTGGGTTACTCACCTAGTACTCAATAACCAGAATCGGGCTAGTTTGAAACCAGGAGCCTGGGACTTTGTGGGTCTCCCATGTGGGTGACAAGGACCCAAATACTTAAGCTGTCGTCTGTTGCCTTTTTTTTTAAGATGGTAGTTGATAATTTTCTTTTTAATATTTATTTGTTATTTTTATTCGAAAGGCAGATATACAGAGAGGAGGAGAGACAGAGAGGAAGATCTTCCTTCTGATGGTTCACTCCAGGCGACTGCAACAGCTGGAGCTGAACCAAGACCTGTTCTGGGTCTCCCACACAGGTACAGGGTCCCAATGCTTTGGGGCATCCTCAACTGCTTTCCCAGGCCACAGGCAGGGAGCTGGATGGGAAGCAGGGCCACCAGGATTAGAACTGGTGCTTATATGGGATCCTGGCGTTCAAGGCAAGTACTTTAGCCACTAGGCTTAGGCTATCGCACTGGGCCCCATCTGTTGCCTTTTTAGTGTGCACATTTAATAGGAAGCTAAAAGTGGAATAGTCAGAAAACACCAAGTAGGCACTCTGACGGGGGACAAAGGCTTCACAAGCACTGCAC